TTTCATCCTCGGGCCAGGTAAGTTTGACAACAGGGAGCAAAGCTGCGAGTTTGCTGAAGAAAAAAATCTGTTTTAATGTTTGTTTATTTTTCTGTGTACATGTCAGCCCTGCAGGCATGTCTGTCCTTCATTGGTGAGGAAGGTGTCACACTGGACTTCATAGCGCTGAAGCTCAACATGTACACCACCCCAGCGTTACTGGCTGCAGTGTTCGGCCTCATCAACATCCTGCTCGTCGTCATTCTGCTGAGGTGACTGAACAAATTCTTGATGTGACTTCTTGTTTGTTTATAGTTTTGCCATAAACTTGATCTCTGTACTGTAGTAAATCTGTCTTCATCCCTCAACTGGGCCTTTTTTTTTTTTCTTTTTTTCTTTCTTTGTTTTTTGAGGCACTACCTAAATTAACTTTAGCGGTCACCAGGGTCAAAGATTTAAATCAGGACTGTTTGAGAGTTTAGTATTGTTGATCGGTCAGTTTATGTATAATTAATGTTTTTAAATGCCGTATAAATGTGAAGGTTCACAATTCTTTCAAATTCTGTCTTAAAGCACTATTTGTGCTTTTGATTTTTATTGAACATACTAAAAAAATGATCCAAGTTTCTCTTCATAACCTAAAAAACATCCTCTGTGAAGTTGAGATCAGGTGACTTGAATTTGAAGAACATTTCATTTTGCTGATTTGAGAAACTCATATTGCTTTTGCAGTTAGTTTTGGGTCATTATCTGTTTACACAGTCTGATCAGGAGCGTTTGGTTGAATCCGAGCAGAGAGTGCAGCCCTGCTGCTTCTATCAGCAGTCACAAAAACACCACTGACAGTCATACGTGTCTGCCATAATATTAGCCCCTCCATGTTAGACAGATGATGTGGTATGCTTCAGATCATGAGCTGTTTCTCTCCTGCTCCATACCTTTCTCTTCCCATCATTTTGATATAAGTTAATAAAAGTTAATCTTGGGTTTATCTGAACAAACATTTTTTTACAGAGCTGTGCTCTTTTAGATTTTTGCTGGCAAAGTCTAGTCTGGCCTTCAACTGGTTGCTTGCACCTTTTAAATCCTCCATATTTACATTCATGAAGGTGATTGTAGACCTTGACAATGATACTCCTGCATCCTGAAATATTTTTGACTTGTTTTTAACATGTGAAGTTGTTTTTCCTTAACCATTTAAAAAAAAAAACAAACAAACAAACAAACAAAAAAAACAAAAAGGATTGGTCTTCAGTAGGATAGTTCTGGAAAATTTCACTATTTGACTGGCCATTCATTATTTTACATGGACTAAAAAATACTGTGGATATACCCTTGAACTAAAATGTCTGATTCTTTCCATCAGAGAGCATCACGTTGATGAAGATGGAAGGCACATTCAATCTATCAACTACACATCAGAAGGTGTATCTATTTTTCTTTAGCATTTACTATATCTCAAGGAAAGACCACTTCCTGAAGTCAATTTACAGACAAAATGAAAACTATTTGGACTAAAACATTTATTTGTTTTTAAGTCATTTAACATATAGAGTGACATAAAGCAGTACTGCACTGAGTCTGAATGGCTAATGTTAAAGGAATCCTACATTTTGAATATGGAAATAAATGAGTCATGTTTTACAGTTTCTGATGGAAGATATATTTGTTTTCTAGAGAGAGTTGATATTTCAGAAGAAACTGTTGAAAGCATCGATCAGGTGGCTGTCATGACATCCAACATCCTGTTCTTCATC